GAGTCTGTGCAAGGTCTCCAAGGTAGTGATCCTGTCTGAGTGAGTGATGGCCATATTCCTGGCATTTCTTTGCCGGGTATAAGCACCCCACACTAACTCAGCCAATATTTGTTGGTGAATGAATGGACAACAGATGAAATGACAAATAAGTCTGTCCCTAGGGCCTGCAATTCACTCCCTCCCATAGCTCAAGCTCCACCCCTGAAACCCAGGACCTCCCCTCCCACCCCAACCCTCTCTGTGGATTCCACTTTCACTCAAGTGACCGCTCAGTCCCCAACAGCATCCTGAGGGCCTGTCCACCTTGCAGGACCAGGCCTGGCTGAGTGTGGCCCTTCCTATTCCATTGAGTCCCTGGGGAAGGTCAGAGGCCAGTTAGGGCCGCCATGGCAAACGTGTGTGGCAGCTTCACCATAGTTTGAAAGCAAGGAACTAGGCAGGGTGGAGTTTCTTCCCTTCCTTTTCAGATTTGCTGGGTCCACCCATGGTAGTCATCCTCTTGTGAGGGCCTTAGCTTCCAGGTTCAAGAACTTTGCAGGCCCTGGGCCCTTTGACCTTCAAGAGGACTCTCTCTAATCAGAGCAAGCACATTAAAACATGTGGTACCCACAGCCGAGGTTGAATTGAAATTTTTTGCCATGAATATTTTTCAAAGGATAATCTTTTGATAAGACAAATTATTATTATTATTATTATTATTATTATTATTTTTGAGACAGAGTTTTTGCTTTTGTTGCCCAGGCTGGAGTGCAATGGCACGATCTTGGCTCACTGCAACCTCCGCCTCCCAAATTCAAGTGATTCTTCTGCCTCAGCCCCCGCTAGTACCTGGGATTACAGGCTTGTGCATCACGCCCAGATAATTTTTGTATTTTAGTAGAGATGGGGTTTCACCATGTTGGTCAGGATGGTCTCAATCTCTTGACCTTGTGATCTGTCCGCCTCGGCCTCCCAAAGTGCTGGGATTACAGGCGTGAGCCACTGCACCCAGCCAAGACAAATTGTTTATTTTGATGTCTGAATACTTTTTCTTTTTTGAGATAGGATCTCACTCTGTCACCCAGACTGGGTACAGTGGTGCAAGCTCAGCTCACTGCAACCTCCACCTCCTGGGCTCAAGTGATCCTCCCATTTCAGCCTCCTGAGTAGCTGGGACCACAGCTGTGCACCACCATGCCTGGCTAAGTGTGTGTGTGTGTGTGTGTGTGTGTGTGTGTGTGTCTGTAGAGACAGGGTTTCACCATGTTGCCCAGGCTGAGCTCTAGCAATCCACCCATCTCAGCCTCCCAAGGTGCTGAGATTACAGGTGTGAGCCACCATGCTTGGCCAGTGTCTCAACACTTTACTGCCATTACTTTCTCTGTTTTGGTCACCCTGACTTCTCAGAAGCTAGCACTGTGCTCAGTACTTAGTAGCGCTCAGTAAACATTTGTTGAATCAGTGCACTTGTGATTTGAATCTGACCTTACAGATGATAACTTGAGCTGGGTTTACCAGCTAATGTCATGCGAGGGGTACTGGGACATTAAACTAAGTGGGTGTTACTTTTGGTTTTGAAATTTTTTTGTGGTTTGGAGACCCTCATTCTTCCATTAGGTTTCAAACATTCTCATAGACTGTAGACTCAGAGACTCATGGAGCATAATGGATAAAGTGGGGCTGCCCATAGACATAGGCCCAAGACCACCACAGCTGGCCTCCCTGGGCTAGGGGTTCCCCTTAGAGCCCTAGATTGCATTAGAGGCCCCTGGCTGCAAAGGGGCAGGGCCCAGTCTTTATCCAGGAGCACATCTCCTATCTGCCTGGTTGGCCTGCACCATGCCTCGGGGAGCGCCCGCTTTCAGGTGCCCGCGTGTGATCTCAAGTGGATCTCTATTCCACTTCTAGCCTTGACTTCCCCAACAGCCCCCCGGCCTCCCCGCTTGCCCCTCTACTCTGTTGTCCACACAGCAGCCAGAGTGACTGGGGCCAGCTTCACAGGTGTGCGTCTAGTGTAGCCACTCAAGGCCAGAGCTCAGAAAGGCCCTGTGCTTGGGCTTCAGTGCTCTAGCTACCATCTTGAAACAATAATTTTAGCATTGAACGTGTGCTTTGTGAGTGAAGTCTGATGGGAAAACGGCACCTTCACTGAGAACTTGGAATCTGGTTAGTGTGCATCCCATGTCCCACTGCCTCCCCAGCACAGGCTCTTGGCTGCCCACTCCCAGGCTCCCAGTGGCCCCACCTCTGCCCCACCATGGCTGCTCCCCTCCATCTGGAGGCCTGAATGTGGGCTCAAGGAGGACTGGGGACTGCTGGATTGGTCCCTGGCATCTTAGGGTGTAACAAAGTGGTAGATCTCCCCTCCCCAGGCTGAAACTCAGCATAGGCTTCACCCTGACCCCCAGTCCAGGTATTGAGCATGTCCTAAAACAACTGTGGCAATCTGGAAGGGCCGCCTGTTGGCCATGGATGGAGGCACTGTGCTGTGAGACGAGGCAATGGAATTTCTTGCCCCTGGGGACTTCGCAGCTACATTTTTCTCCAAACCCACAAATTATACAGCTAGCCTGGCCAGGCACCGTGGCTTACGCCTGTAATCCCAGGACTTTGAGAGGCTGAGGTAGGTGGATCACTTTGAGCTCAGGAGTTTAAGAGCAGCCTGGGCAACATGATGAAACCCTGTCTCTACAAAAAAATACAAAAAGTGGCTAGATGCAGTGGCTCATGCCTGTAATCCCAGCACTTTGGGAAGCTGAGGCGGGCAGATGAGCTGAGGTCAGGAGTTCGAGACCAGCCTGACCAACGTGGAGAAACCCTGTCTCTACTAAAAATACAAAATTAGCTGGACGCGGTGGTGCATGCCTGTAATTCCAGCTACTTGGGAGGCTGAGGCAGGAGAATCGCTTGAATCTGGGAGGCGGAGGTTGTGGTGAGCCAAGATCATGCCATTGCACTCCAGCCTGGGCAACAAGAGTGAAACTCTGTCTCAAAACAAAACAAAACAATACAAAATGTATCCGGGTGTGGTGGTGTGCACCTGTGGTCCCAGCTACTGGAAATGCTGAGTCTGGAGAATCGCTTGACCCCAGAAGGCAGAGGCTGCAGTGAGCTGAGATCGCACCACTGTACTCTAGCCTAGGTGACAGAGTAAGACCCTGTCTCAAAAAAAAAAAAAAAAAATTATATAGCCAGCCCTAAGATTGAGGCTTCTACCATATGCATTTGCCCTGTGGGATCCCTGCTGGGACACCGACTGATGAAGTCCCCATCCCTTCCTTTGGCTCCTGAGGGCCTGCATGACCAAGGTCTGCTCTGCCCTTCACCTCAGCGTACCCATCTTAGAATCTAATATTCCTGCCAGGCCAGCTGGACCTCCTTCATTCCCCAGAATGGGCCCTGTGTCCCCTCCCCTTTGGGCCCTGTACATGTGGTTTGCCCTGCCTGGACAGCCTTTCCCTACCTCCTTGCTTATCAGGACAGCCTGACACCTCTTCTCACCCTCCCCACATCTGGGTTCTCACCCAGATCATAGCAATGACTTTTCTTTGTCTGGTTGGGATCTTGGGGAGGATGGGGCTTTGTCTCTCTTGTTTCTAGCTGTACCCCAGTGTGAGACACAGTGCCTGGTGCTCAGTAAGTATCGTTAAGTGAAGACTGATTGTCCCATCTGCTTCCTCACATCTTTGCTTGGTAATGAGCAAATGGAAGCTCAGAGAGGGCAATGACTCACCAGCATTTCACGCTGGGACAGAGGCGGGTTTAGCGCTTGAATCTGAGTCCAGCGCCCACGCTCACTCTCCTGCGAGGATGAAAGGCTACGGGGCCTGAGAAAACCCTCCCTTTTACCCTGAAGGCAGAGCTGTGGCACAGCTCAGGCTTGCTTCCTCATCCCCTGAATGTGAGGCTTTGCTGCCACACACTGGGGTTGTCCCACCTGGGGCAGGAGGAGACACAGTCTATGGCATTGCTTCTCTGAATCTGATTGATTCAGCCCTGCAATCTCAGGTCCTCTAGACCCCAAAATGAACAAGATGTTGCCCCAGCCTCAGCAGTGTCTCCACCTGCTGGAGGTGGTCTCTGCTGAACTTCTCTAGGTTGTGGATCCCACCTCACCCCAACCCTTCTGCATCCTAGCTCCTAGGATGTACGAATGACTCCCCTGCCTGGACTAGTGGCTTTATGTAGGTCATGGTGGCTCCTCAGAGTACAGAGAGATGCAGTGGAGTCCCAGAGCCCCCCAGCTGGGAATTGAACCCAGACCTGCCTGGCTCTGAAGCCCGGGCTGCACCAAGCCTATCACATATCAGATGTCCCATTTGGGGGGGGTAAGGCAAGGAGGCTCCAGGGAGGCCGCAGCACCGGTGCTGGGCCTGGGAGAGTGTCCTAGGAGGGATGAGAAGGAGCAGCGCAGCAGGCAGAGGGAATGTTGAGCCCAGGGGCGGAGGCAGGGAAGAGTGGGGCGAGAGAGAAGGCTGGAAGGAAGGTTCAGCCCAGACCCCAGGCCGAAGAGTTTGGATTTTCATCTGATGGTAGAGAGCTATAGAATGTATTTGAGCAGTGTGAGGTAATCTGTGCTGGGGGAGCCTATGCTGGCCGTGCACTAGGGAGTGAAAGAGAGACAAGGAGCCCAGTCAAGAAGCCATTAGAAGGTCCAGAGGTGGCTCATAGTTTTGATAGATTTCACCCTGCTCATGTTTGAGGCAGGGTGAAAGCCATGGGGAGGGAAATACACCAGAGGACATGCAGGGCCCATGGGTGCTGAAGAAGGCTGCAGCTGGGTTGGGCATCAATGACATGACCCTGAAGAGGGTAGGGGATGTGCAGGGCCATGTGAAGTAGGGTGGTACTTGGGGGCTCTGTACACAGTAGGTACTCAGTAACTTTATTGAATGAATGGATGAATAGCCTCCCTGTCTCTGGGTCAGCTCTGGTCGTACCCTCTCCTGTTTCCCATACCTCTTCTCTTTGCCCACCCTGCCCTGTGGCCCTGGGGAGACCTCAGCTGGCCCGGTAGAGGTAGTGCTGGCCTGTGGTTCCGCTGGAGGGCGCCTCCATGTTTGGGGGTGTACCGCACGCCTTCTCCCTCTCTGTCCCCCTCCCCCTCCCTGTCCTTATCTTTCCCTTCTGTCTCCATGGCGACTCACCACCTCGGCAGGCTTGCCTGCATCCCAGCCTCTGCCAGGGATTCTGAGTCGGGCTCCATCCCTCCCTCCTCCGAGCTCTGCTACCCGCAGCCCTGTCTCCTCCCCCTGGGGTGAGTCCAGCAGCAGCCTCCTCTTTCCCGACTGTCACATTTCTTTTCCAGCTCTGACCGGGAGTCAGCTCCTCAGGGAGACCATCCCCCGACCTCACCTTCCGCCTGCTGCAGCCCGCTAGCCTTTCCGCGAGAAAAGGCATCCTTACCTCTGGTTGAAGGTCTCGGGGCCTCCCCCTCTGCATCCGGACCCTCTCCCCATCCCAGCCTCCCATGCCGAGGCCCGCCTTATCAGTCACTTCCTTTTGTCACCGGCTTGGCAAACAGGCAAGTCTTTAGTCCTAAGATCAGGAAGGAGAGTCGGGTGGGAAGGGCCCCCCTTTGGGAGGGGGATGGGCCGGCTGGGGGGAGGATGAGGGGTCCCTGGAAACCCAGCATGAAGATAGAAGTCTGGATTCTGTTCTAAATCTTTTTTTTTCTCTCCAAGGAGAGAAAACAGAGCTTCATGGGAAACAGTGGCAACAGTTGGTAAGTAGCGGGGCCTGCCAGGCTGGGATGGGTGCAGTGGGGCCAGGCAGGTCAGTTGAAATGGCCGGTCCCAGAACACAGAACCGGCAGCCCAGTCGGGAGGGCTGTCCGCCTGAGGCTGGATCTGCCAGGCTGTGGAGGGAGGGACAGGAAGAAGCAGGTGGGTGCTGCAGGGAGGCAGATGCCAGCTCAGAGCAGAGAGCGGAAGGAATCTTCTAAGATCCAGAGCCATCTGCCCAACTGCAGCACAGGCTGCTACCTTCTCCTCACTTCCCTGCAGCACGGGATTGTGGAGGGAATCATCCCTGGGGGCCTGGCTGAAATCAGCACCCCCTGGGGGGAGCCCCGCTGCAGAAGGCCGGGAGAGGCTTTTCCCAGGCATTTGTACCAGGCACCATGCAGGGAGCTGCACACGCCTCCTCTCGGAGGGTCACCCCAACAGCCTCCTGAGGGGTGCTGCTGTCCTCTCCTCTGGGACAGTTAGGAAACTGGGGCCCAGAGAGGGGAAGAACTTGCTCAGATTTGCGTAGCTGGGATGTGGTGGAGTCCCTTCCACCCAGATTTTCCCTCTCAGACTCTCTCACCACTGCTGCTGCCCACCACTGTTCTAGGATGCATGTCAGTAAGGCATGGGCAGAGCTTGGCCTCTCTGGGAGCAGCTCTGCCTGTCCATGGAGGCACTGAGGGAAATTGGGGTGGCACAAAGGGACCTCCACCCCCAAGCCATCAGTCTTCCACCACAACCCTGGCCGGCACCCCCGTCCGCAATAGACATGCTGCTTTTCAATGGCCTGTTTTGCCCCACAGGTCCCATACGCCTTTCCCCAAGTTGGAGCTGGGCCTGGGGCCCCGGCCCATGGCGCCCCGGGAGCTCCCCACCTGCTCCATCTGCTTGGAGAGGTTGCGCGAGCCCATCTCGCTGGACTGTGGCCACGACTTCTGCACACGGTGCTTCAGCACACACCGTGTCCCGGGCTGCGAGCCGCCCTGCTGCCCTGAGTGCCGGAAGATATGCAAGCAGAAGAGGGGCCTCCGGAGCCTAGGCGAGAAGATGAAGCTCCTGCCGCAGCGGCCTTTGCCCCCTGCGCTGCAGGTCTGGGGACTGGGCCTCATCATTCAGACCCAAGAGGAGGGGGTGGCTTTGGCCCTATTCTAGAACATCAGGACAGGACCCAGAGCTCCAGCTTGGACACACTCCAGGGTCAGGGGCTGGTCCTGGATGCTCAGGGGCCCCTTTCTTCTCCTGGCCCAGGAGACCTGTCCTGTGAGGGCGGAGCCACTGCTGCTGGTTCGTGTCAATGCCTCTGGGGGCCTCATCCTTAGGATGGGGGCCATCAACCGCTGCCTGAAGCACCCCCTGGCCAGGGACACCCCGGTCTGCCTCCTCGCTGTCCTGGGGGAGCAACACTCAGGGAAGTCCTTCCTCCTCAACCACTTGCTTCAGGGCTTGCCGGGCCTGGTGAGGGCGGGGCAGGGGAGGAGTGGGGAGTGGGGAAAGGATGGGGGTCCCTGCCTAGGGGATAAACTGGGTCTGGTATTCTGGTCTGTGGGAACAAGGAACCGACCAACTGATGCTCTCCCTTCTCTCCCCTGCAGGAGTCTGGTGAGGGCAGCTGGCCGAGAGGAAGAGAGGCATCCCTGCAGGACTGCAGGTGGGGTGCCAATGGCCTTGCCAGGGGCATATGGATGTGGAGCCACCCCTTCTTGCTGGGGAAAGAAGGGAAGAAGGTGAGGGGGAAGTGGCAGAAGGAGGTCAGGGATGGGAAGGGGAATCAAGAAGGGCATCTCTGGGGTAAGGATGGAAGACGCGGGTGGGAAGAATGTGGCAGAACAAGGTAGTCCTGGCCCCGTGCTTCTTCCCCTGCCTGCTGCATAGGTGGCGGTGTTCCTGGTGGACACAGGGGATGCCATGAGCCCTGAGCTGAGCAGGGAAACCAGGATCAAGCTCTGTGCTCTCACCACGATGCTGAGCTCCTACCAGGTGATGGGGGGCACTGATGTTGGCATCCTCACCCCACACACCCTTCTCCAGCCCAGCTTCCTCAAGGCCAGACCATCTCACAGGCTCCGGTGTCTGGGATCCTTATAGGTTCTGCGGCTGCCCCAGAAAGGGGAAGGTGATCCTACTCTGTGAAAGTGGGAACATGGTTATTCCTAAAGGTGGGCTGATGGTCCCCGGGGCAGCCGAAGGCCTAATGGATCGCAGAACCCTCCAGGCCTGCCTCTGGCCTCGAGGCCAGCCCAATCCTGAAGCTTTCAAGGCTCCCATACTGGCCTCTCCTGTTCTGTGAGGCCCACAGGCTGCCTGTGAGCTCCCCACTCACCAGGGCCTTCCCCGGTGAAGTCACCTGGCCTCTGTAATCCCTCTTACATTCCAGATCCTCAGCACCTCCCAGGAGCTGAAGGATACAGACCTGGACTATCTGGAGGTACAGAGACCTCTGATGTTGGGGGCATCCCCACCCCTGCCCTGCCCACAAGGCCAGGGCCTGGACCAGAAGGAACTATATGCCCCCTGGCCTGGCCTAGGGTTTATGACACTTGAACAGGGTTGAAGGGGGAGAGTGGAGGGTAAAGCATGAGATGCCTGGTTTGGGGAGAGGCAGGAGAACCCCAGGCTGCAAAGGGGGAAGCTTGGCTTCTACAGCAGGCACATGGAGGTGGGGAGACAGGCTTGGGGTACACCATAGTCCTCGAAGTGGCCCAGCCCTGACGCTTTCTGTGCCCCACCCAGATGTTTGTCCACGTGGCCGAGGTGATGGGCAAGCATTATGGGATGGTGCCAATCCAGGTGAGACATCCATCTCTGGATTCATCAGCCCCAGGCCCCGCCACCCCCAGTTGCTGGTGTCAGGACCCCTTCTCTTCCAGCATCTGGACCTCTTAGTTCGTGACTCATCCCACCCCAACAAGGCAGGGCAGGGGCACATAGGTGACATCTTCCAGGTGAGTGGTGCAAGGGGAGGGAGTGGAGGGACCATGGAAAGGGCAGAAGGTGGGGAAGACTGGGAGGGGTCCTGGCAGGGAGCCAAGAAGGGGAGGCTGGACCTCCTAGCTCAGAGCACTCCTCTCGCTGCCTCGCAGAGATTGTCTGGCAGATACCCCAAAGTGCAGGAGCTGCTGCAAGGGAAGCGAGCCCGCTGCTGCCTTTTGCCTGCCCCAGGGAGGCGGTGGGTGAACCAAGGCCACACAAGCCCTGGTGGTGAGTGTCCCCGAGAGCTGGACCTCCCTTGCCCTGCTCCCACCTCCCCTCCTCTGGCGACCAAGCCCTTCGAAGCACCCACTTGGCCTCTGACACTCCTTCTTCTCCCAAAGCCTGCCTGCAGTCTCTCAGCGTGCAAATCTCTCCCTCAGACACAGATGATGACTTCCGCCACCTTCTGGGGGCCTACGTCTCAGATGTGCTGAGCACAGCCCCCCAGCATGCTAAGAGCCGCTGCCAGGGGTACTGGAACGAGGGGCGCACCGTGGCCAGGGGGGACAGACGCCTGCTCACAGGGCAGCAGCTAGCTCAGGAGATCAAGGTGTGAAAACTCCCTGGAGACCCAGGCGACTCAGCTGGGCCCCTGCTCTCCCTGACCCCAGCGATGGTATCTCTGCAGAACCTCTCAGGCTGGATGGGGAGGACAGGGCCTGGCTTCACCTCTCCGGACGAGGTATGAACCCTTGGGGGATCCAGCATTCTGGCAGGGAGGCAGGGAGGCTGGGGAGGCGGGGGAGGTGGGGAAGCAGGGAGGCAGGGAGGAAGGGAGGTGGGGGATGTGCTGAGGCCTGTGGGGTGGGGGTCCGTGTGCCCTGGGAGTGGAGATGTGGAAACGAGCAGCGCCCCTGGCTGAGGAGGAAGGAAGAGGCAGCCTGGGTTTTCCCGTGGACAGATGGCTGCTCAGCTGCATGACCTGAGGAAGGTGGAAGCTGCCAAGAGGGAGTTTGAGGAGTACGTGAGGCAGCAGGTGAGCCCCAGGACCTGTGCGGAAGGCAGGTGCGGGCCGGGCAGGGTACAGGCCAGAGAGAGGATGCCTCGGGCTCCTGGTCAGGGCACCTTCCTTTCCCTCCCTGTCACAGGACATAGCTACCAAGCGCATATTCTCTGCGCTGCGGGTCCTGCCAGACACCATGCGGAACCTCCTCTCCACCCAGAAAGACACCATCCTGGCCCGCCATGGTGTGGCCTTACTCTGCAAGGGAAGAGATCAGACCTTGGAGGCGCTGGAAGCCGAGCTGCAGGCCACAGCCAAGGCCTTCATGGACTCCTACACCATGCGCTTCTGTGGGCACCTGGCTGCTGTGGGGGGTGCTGTGGGGGCTGGGCTCATGGGCCTGGCAGGTGGCGTGGTGGGTGCTGGCATGGCGGCAGCTGCACTGGCTGCAGAGGCCGGGATGGTGGCTGCTGGAGCTGCTGTGGGGGCCACAGGGGCTGCCGTGGTTGGGGGTGGCGTAGGCGCTGGGTTGGCTGCCACCGTGGGCTGCATGGAGAAGGAGGAGGATGAGAGGGTGCTGGAAGGGGACCGAGAACCCCTTCTCCAGGAAGAGTAACAGCTCCAGGAGATGTTGAAGGACAGGAGAGATGTGAGGTGGGGATGAAAAAAGGGACAGGTTGGGCAAGGGTGATGCCAGGAATTCTGAGGAGCCCCATGTACTATACTGCCCTGGTTGAATGCTCAGCGTCTGGGTGGTGGGCTGAGCTGGACTCAAGGTGGCTCCAGGAACCTGGGAGGCAGCACCTGGGGGCAATGGATAGAACACCTGTCCTGCTTCTGGTTGCAGATGGTTGCTGATCTGCCCTTGTCTCAGATAGGCTAGATCCCGGGGTCTGTCACCACAAGTGAGGCTCCACTCTCCCCACCTGGCTCATTTCTCCAATGACCCTGGATTATAGGAAAGTTAAGCAGGCACCATCCTGGAAGTCTCCCTCTGGGTAGTTGAGAGACCTGTTCTTTCACAGATGGGAGAAACCCCAGGATGATTGGCTGTGGTGTTCAGGAGTGGGAGCACCAATGAGGGGCTGGGGACGACAGGAAGGAGGGAACACGGGGCAGACGGAGAGATGGGACATGGTAGGCAGTGGCCCAGATCCCAGAGCAGAGAATCTTTCTCCCATGACTCTTCCCAAATTTGCTCCAGCAGAACTAAGGTGGCTTCCCCACCTTCTGGCCCACAGCCCCAAGAGAACCTGTCTGTGCATCCTGAACCACCCTGTGCTGGGCCTCCGCGAAGGCCTCTCTTGGGTCTGTGCCCTTTTTCAAGCCTGTTCAGACGGGGGAGTGCCCATGTCCTCTGTCTTGCATTCTGAGCTAAGCCAGATAGCCTTTATATGGGATTCTATCAAAGTCGCACAAAGGAGAACAAATGAACAACGTCTATCCTTCAAGACATGCTTTCTCCCCTGGGCTTGGAAGAAGATGCAGCTCCTCAAACACCAGGCCCCCCGGATCTTGGGGTACAGGAGTTCTCCCTCTGGGAGACAGAAAATCTGACTACTAGGAAGACTTCTAGGCTATGAAACTTACAGGGTATGGGTGGGTATATTATCCTTTATTTTATGAAAAATAAAATGTGTGTATGTGAATATCAGCTTCCCAGTATATTATTGAAACAGAATTTAACCTTCAAAGGACTTCAGGGTGGGAGCAGGTGAACCAATGATATCCATTGCTGGAATGCACAGATGGGAAGAGGGAGACTGGAATTCAAGAGATCTGAGGAAGTCATTGTCAGGGGTCCCCATTCAGTGGCTGCAAGAGGGCCCAGGCCAAGGCCAAGTGCATATGGCCACCTTTGTAGGCTGCTCCACTAGGACTTGGGGCTTTGCTCCTCTTGTCTCTTCTCTGAGAAACTGCTTCCCATGATCCTGTCAACAGGCAGTCAACAAGCACCTGTCCCATCAAGAGGACAGAATGGAGGCATAAGCAGAGAGAACTTGGCCAAGCCTTGAAGGAAGAAGGAGCCCAGGACCACTTCTGCAGGGCTCAGCCAGCCAGGAGTTCACCCGACTGATTCTTTTCCCAGCCCTGCTCCCCAGCTCCCCATCTCAGAATCACAGCAGCAGTCTCTGCGTCCAAACCTGGCATTTATAGACGCACACCCAGGGAGGGAAAGTCTCAGATAAGGCTGTGCAGCTGCCAATGACAGAAGCAGGGGAACCCCGAAGTCCTGGTTCCCAAGCTGGTGCACTTCTCGAAGTCATTTTGTTAAGGTCGACTGCGCTGAAATTGAGATGCTCCTTTTCAGATGCTTCCTCTGGCTGACCAGGTCAAGCTCCAGGGAACAGTGTGTGGTGGGCAGAGGCAGGAACATGGTCTAGAACAGATGGCTCAGCAGTGAAGCTATAGTTAACAGGCTAGGGACAAATACAGAATGTAGAGAAATTCCAAAGCCAGGGCGGGGTTGAGTGGGGTAAAGACAGATGACAGTGACTCTCTCTTTTAGGGTCTGAGCCAAGGGTTGGAACAGGGACCTAACTCTGTGTAGTGTTTGTGGAGAAAGGCTTTCTGGAAGCATCTCTCTGAGCCCTTCCACTGTCATCTGGTGGACACATGAGCTGTGAAACCTTCCAGACTTTGGAGGCTCAGGCTGAGGGGGTCCAGAGACTCACAGAGGGAGGGTGTCATATGGCTAGAATCCTACTCGGCAGCACTGGAAGAAACGTCAGTGTTTACCTCTCCCCACTCTTTGCACATATGGGAAGAGGTTGGCCCAGCGAGGGATGTCTCTGCGGAGACAAGATGAGTAATATTAAGTGGTGTTTGTCTTGTGCCTTGTAGCTTTCAAAGCATTTCCTCAAACATCATCTCCCGTAAGCCTTGAAATCATCTCAAGCAGTATGTAGAATACATGTTTTTACAGAGGAGGATACTGAAGCTGAGAGAAATAACGTGTCTCAGTGGAAACAACCAGCCAGAGGTAGGCCAGGACTTGACCCCAAGAGTTCTGATGACAAATCCCTGGCTCAGTGGAGCCCTCAAGCCTCTCCAGACTCCAAGACGGCCAGGCTTCTGGGTCCCAAACCTGATTAGTTGGATTCCTGGGCTTCCAACATTGATTCTGTAATTCACAAGAGCCTAGGTGACTCATTGACCGAGGTCTCAGCAGCGTGCTGACATCTGCCTGGTTTCCCTTCTATGACCCGTTGAAGGTTCAAGATTGGTATGTTCCAAGACTGCGTTAGAGGTTTGGTGGCTTGCTGTGTGCTTCCTGTTTCTGAGACCTCCCTCATGTTGCAGATGACAGTACTGCGAGACAAGAGGAACCTGCGTCCCGAAGGCCCCACACTGCTTGGAGCAAGATGGAGCCCCCGATTCCACTGGCTCTTATCACACCACGCCACCAACAAGAAATAAACTTTTACTGCATGAAGGGGACGTGACCTCTAGGTTGACTTAGTGCACCGTTGCCCACCCTACTGTAGCACACACAGAAATGTGTTCCTTGAAATGGAGTGATACTGTCACACACAGGTAAATTATCACCAGCTGGGGGCTGGGCAGTAAGGAAAGGCATTTTATGTCGTAACAGAACGTTTGCTAAAATTGTCACCTATGGCAACTTGGAAGACAGACCTTATGCTATCGAGGAAAAAAAATTATTTTAAATAAAATCTCCTGCCAACCCAGAATATTCTCTCCACAAATGTGGAAAAGAAAGAAAATAGTACTTCTGTGATTGAATAAGCACTAAACACATGGATGCATTACATGTCATCAGCTAATGCGATCATAAAGACAGTCAGAAATCTCCCCCGTTTACGTAGCCAAGCAGCTACAACCCATTACACACACGCTGTCACGTGCGAGGACTTGAACTCAGGTGAGAGAGCTCCACAGCGTTGTTTGTTATACACACACTCACAGCTTACCTAATTCACCTGGTGATTGGGGTGGCCATCTGTGCCTTTTGTTATAGGAAAATAAAGCAAGTTGAATCTCTACGAACAGCAGGTTGTCAGGGCACTGGGCGCCTTGACACACCCTTGGTGACAAGCAACATGGGGCACTGTCATCCTTGACATTACACTTAAGAGGGCAGCTCCCAGGCTTTTCAGAAAAACAGTTTTGGGTTTTAATTCTGGTAAAAGATTTATTTAAACTTTAAAAAGACTGGCATAAGCATCTGAAGGAACAGAGGAAGGCTTTACAAATACCAGCTTTCTCAAGGAAATGTTCTAAGCAAAGGGAGGGGGAGAAGGGGTCTCTTTTCCTTTTGGGAACAAGACAAATGCACTCATTTTTATTTCCCTTTACAGTTCCCCCCCACCTTTGTTATTATTTTGTAGTAACACTGCATTCTCTGGAGAGTTTGCAACCATTAAAATATTCAGCGAGCCCACAGTAAAAAGAGCAAAGCTGATCGGGCTGTTAGAACAAAACATCACAGACTGGGTGGCTTATAAACAACAAAAATTTATTTCTTATAGTCTGGAGGCTGGAACTCCAAGATCAAGGCTCCAGCAGATCTGATGCCTGGTGAGGGCCTGCTCGCTCATAGACTTCTGTCTTCTCACTAACCTCACATGCCGGAAGGGGCGAAGGGTAATCTGGGCTCTCTTCTACAAGGGCACTAATCCCATTCAAGAGGTCTCTGTCTTTATGACCTAATGACCTCCCAAAGACCCCACCTCCTGATACCATCACCTTGGGGTTAGTTAGGATTTCGACATATGAATTTTGAATGGACACAAAAGCAATGATCAGGGTCTCAATGGGATGAATTTAACAGTCAGTGGGATATGCACTCAGGAAAAACCTCTAAACCCATCATATTAATGGCAAATGGTTAAAGCAAACTTGATTAGCAGTGTGCAAAAATTCTCCTTTGGCAGACATTAATGTTACAAACTGCTGTGCTGTCTTTATCACTTGCCGTTTCATGCAACTATTTGAGTATCATTTTGTAGTTGCTTACAGTTTACCCAACCTAACCCTCAGGAGTGGCTTACCTGCAGCACCTATCTAAAATGTTAAGAGTTTTTCTTGAAAGGCCCAATACATTTCTCCTGCATTCCCATCAAATAACCTCACACTTACATAACAATTTAGGCCCTTTGTCAGTTGTTCTGTCATCCTCAGTAATATTTCCCAGCCACAAAACATAAAGATACCCATGGCCATTATCTGGTATCAAAGACGAGGCACCTTTGGAGGGGTACAGATACATTTTCCAATTTCCAGTGTTTAATGTTCCATGGTGCTTTTTTTTTGAGACGGAATCTTGCTCTGTTGCCCAGGCTGGAGTGCAGTGGTGTGATCTCGGCTCACAGCAACTTTTGCCTCCTGGGTTCAGGCAATTCTCCTGCCTCAGACTCCTGAGTAGCTGGGACTGCAGGCACCCCCCACCATGCCCGGCTGATTTTTGTACTTTCAGTAGAGATGGGGTTTCACTATGTTGGCCAGGCTGGTGATCTGCCTGATCTCAAGTGATCAAGTGCTGGGATTACAGGCATGAGCCACCATGCCCGGCCATGTCTGTGGCTCTTATTGTGCTAAGTCTTGAGGACAAACCCACCCATAGGCCATTTTCCACATCAGTTCAATCCATAGTTATCTTATGATAGCAGCATGTCATGCTGAACGAGTGATGAAATCTCAGAACTTTTCTCTAGCTAATTGCTAAGCTGCTTTATTGCCGAGTCCCTCCGAGATTCTTGTGGTGAATTTTTGTTTGGGCATTACATTATTTCTCAACAGTCCAATTCTGAATTTTTGGCTGTTTCCATTGCAATTGTATTACATGTTTTTGTAATTGTCTCAGAGCATTAAGTTTGTTATTAAGGTATCGACATCAACAAGCATTAGCTACATTTGTCTATTTCTGTTTCTTCAAGGACTGTACTATTATTATTATTTTTGAGATGGATCTTTTGAGATCGCAGCGGTACGATCTCAGCTCACTGCAACCTCCATCTCCCGGGTTCAGGCGATTCCCCTGCTTTAGCCTCCTGAGTGGTTGGGGCTAAGACGCATGCCACCACGCCCGGCTAATTTTTTGTATTTTAGTAGAAGCGGGGTTTCACTATGACCAGGATGATCTCCATCTCCTGACCCCCCATGGCCCCCATGATTCACCCCCCATGGCCTCCCAAAGTGCTGAGATTACAGGCATGAGCCACCTTGGCCCCAAGGACTGTATTTAATGTTTCTTTTTGTTCTTGTATGGCCTCAAATAAGCCCCTTAATAATCAGATTTCATAATGGGAGAGCCTAGGGGATGCAATTCTGGCTATGCAAACTACTAGCCTCAGACATTTCACATCAAATTTAGGGGTTGAGTATTGTGATGCATATTAGTTATGTTAATGTTACCAAAAATATTTCACAAAGATGGTCCCACCTTCACTCTGACAACAATCAGATTGTTGGTCTTATAAATTTGGGCCATGTCTATCCTGAAAACACAATATAGAAAGAATGGGAAATAAATAACTCTGGGGACCATTACTGGGAGTGTAAGAAAAGTAGTATTACAAATAACATGTTTGTTTCTAGTAAATTATGAGTCTTAAAGTAATTGAGGGCCGGGCGCGGTGGCTCAAGCCTGTAATCCCAGCACTTTGGGAGGCAGAGGTGGGTGGATCACGAGGTCAAGAGATCGAGACCATCCTGGTCAACATGGTGAAACCCCGTCTCTACTAAAAATACAAAAAATTAGCTGGGCATGGTGGCGCGTGCCTGTAATCCCAGCTGCTCAGGAGGCTGAGGCAGGAGAATTGCCTGAACCCAGAAGGCAGAGGTTGCGGTGAGCCGAGATCACGCCATTGCACTCCAGCCTGGGTAACAAGAGCGAAACTCCATCTCAAAAAAAAAAAACAGTAATTTGAAATCATCACTGCTGTGAATAGGCCAGCAGGGCTGTTTATGATAATAGTAATAAGTTCATTGAAAATAGTTCTTTTCAGTTGAATTCAGTACCAATATAGTTATTCTAGAAGATTTAAGTTTCAAGACCTCATGGGAACCCAAGTCCAGTTGAAAGCATGAATCCAACTGGATTTTTCTTTCACCTTGATAATTATATCAGAACATGTGAAAGGGTCCCTCGCACAGTGGTGACAGCTATCTTTGCTCTGCAACACCTTTATGTACACGAAATCACCTCATCGTTGATGGGGTGGCAGATTTCCTCTGGCAGAGCCTCCTGATTTTATGTCTCCAGGGAAGAGAGAAACACTTTTAGGTACAGAACGTGATTATGAGAGGATTCAGTGAAATTGGGCCCAGGACATGGCCTCAGACCCAGTTCCTAGGCCTGCTGAACATCATTTCACAGGGAGCGATATTGAGCTTGCTTGCAGGGTTGCTCTCATTTTTTACAAGGCTAGCAATAAAGCATGAGGCCATTTTAAGCCAGCAGATTTCTGAATGAGGTTTTAGAGTCCAATGTATCTGCTCTATTTCTCCAGAGGACTGAGGGTAACAGGGAGTATGATAGCATGATTTGCATCATTCCTGAACCACAATAGACTATGGGCTATGTGGACATCCTACAAAACATAACGTGACAAAAATCTCTTACCTCCTACAGGCCTTATTTCTACAGAATTCAACTGCTGTGAGGTCCCTGGCGAAGCTGGTGGAAGAGAACCTTCTGTACGTGCCTGGGGAGAGGCCTTAAATAATCCTGCTGACCACCCCGCACATCAACATGTTTTGGATGATGCCACCTGCTCAGCAGGCATAGTGGAGTGGAGTGTCTTTGAGATCCCTTTTCACTGGGGGATGGTTTTGTTGATGACACAACATTACTAATCAAGCAAATGGGAACCATGATACAATATTATTTTGTTAGCTAACCACCATAGTCCGGTCAGATTTTTTTTAGGCCTTTCTTACTCCATTTGTCCATTTCCTTTGTGATGCATAGTTTTGAAAGTAAATAGAAGTTACTTGTGTTAAAAGTGGGACGTCTGGCTGGGCGTGGCAGGCCACACCTGTAATTCTAGCACTTTGGGAGGCTGGGGCAGGCGGATCACTTCAGTCTGGGAGTTCAAGACCAGCCTGGGCAACATGGTAAAACCCATCTCTACCAAAAGTACAAAAATTAGCTGGGCTTGGTGGTCCTGTGGTCCCAGCTACTTGGGAGGCTGAGGCAGGAGAACTGCTTGAACCCAGGGGGCAGAGGTTGCAGTGAGCCAAGATCACACCATTGCACGGCAGCCTGGGCAATAGAGCAAGACCCTGTCTCAAAAAAAAAAAAGAAAAAGTAGGACTTCTAAGTTTGGGTCTGTCATATTTGAACTGTGGCCTTTGTAGCTCTTCAGCAAAATTATTTCCTTTAGAAATGGCACTGTTTTGCCCTTGTGAATGTTACAATGTAATGCCTCTAAACGCTCAGCTCTTAATTTTCTTTCCCTTTTTTTTTTTTTTTTTTTTTTTTTTTTTTTTTTTTTTTTTTTTTTTTTTTAAGATGTGGTCTTCTCGCTCTGTTGCCCAGGCAGGAGTGCATTGGCATGAACACGACTCACTGTAGCTTTGAAATGGGCTCAAGTGATTCTCCCACCTTGGTCTCCCAAAGTGCTAGGGTTACAGGTGTGAACCACCAAGCCTGGCCTCAGCTCTCAATTTTCTGTGAGATAATTTACTTCTTGTCAAAGTCAAGAATCTTCTATTTTTCAAAATCTTCCCAGTTGTGTGACTGACACTAAACAGACATTTACTATCACTATGTCCATGTGTTTTAAGTCCTGAACCAAGCCCTAGTAAATGCTACATATTCGTTAACTCGGATTGTGCTGATTTAATTCCAGGCAAAATAAGCTCCCACAATTTCATGAGCAGCCACCACAGCCTAGGAAGTTGGCTGTTTACATCCTGTATGTGACCCACTAACAAATATGATCTGTCAAAAGCCAAAAGCACAAGTTTAAAGATCTTAATTGGCTTTTATTTGTGACTCAAGAATTGGGCAATACCTCATTCTCGTAAAATAGAATGAGTGTTCTGATGAGCTGAACAGAGGCGGTTTGGCTTCATAGGCAGAAAAGGGCTGTGGAGAACGGAAACAGAGCCCGAAAAGCAGATGAATGATTTCAAAGTGACTTTCCTTGTACGACGGTCCCAACTTAAAATGACTTAATTTGTAATATTTTTAATTTAGGATGGGTGTATTGGGAGCATCTGCAAAGGTTAAAGCAGAGGGGACATCCGATCATGCTGGCTAAAGCTGGCCTGTTTGGGGATTTGGCTGTTATCCCTCTGTGTCCTGATTCCTTGGAAGGTCAGATAAACAATTTAGTTTTGGCGTGGTGGCAGGGAACTTCAGCATGAGGAACTCTGTTTTGGTTTCCTCTGTCGAGCCTAGTGCAGAAGCTCACTCCAGACTAACTGCATCCTATCAGTTTTATTTAACAGGTCAAAGCTGAATTTTTAGCAGAAAAGTCAGAGAAATCACACTGGAGCCCAGTGTCTTCTTTTATTACCATGTGTGTTAGGTTGTTCTTGCATTGCTATAAAGAAATACCTGAGAATGGGTAATTTATAAAGAAAAGAGATTTAATTGGCTCATGGTTCTTCGGGCTTTACAGCAAGCATGGTACTGGCATCTGCCTGCTTTCTGGTAAAGCTCACGGAGCTTTCAATCATGGTAGAAGGTGAAGGGAAACAGGCGCATCGCATGGCAAAAGCAGGAACAAGTGAGGCAGGAGAGGGTGTGTGCAGGCAGTGGAGGGGGCTCAGGGGAGGCACCACACACTTTTAAATGACCAGATCTTGCGAGAACTCACTGTTGGGAAGACAGCACCACACCATGAGGGATCCAGCCCCAAGATCCAAACACCTTCCACCAGGCCCCACCTCCAGCATTGGGGATCACAATTCAACATGAGATTTGAGCGAGGACAAATATCCAACTAAATCAACACTGTAGAGCCATGATCATCTATTTGATCAAAGCTGGTGAGGGCAGGGCTTAGGAGTTTGCACCTCCCACGTACAACATAGGCGTCGGATAATAATGCTTGTTCACAGCTGATCCCATGGCATGCCTACAAATGCCGGGTCTTATGCACTCGTGAGATTAGCTGTCATGGTATGGGGGACATAAAAATAACTCAAATGACTGTAGGGGCCTAGGGAAAACTTCCCTTTCACCCTCTGAAAGTTTGCTGAAAAACCAGCTCACAAAAGACAGATTAATATGAGAAATAACATGGAAATTTACTAATGTTCCCAAAAGGAAGATGGCAGTGATCATTCCAACCCCTCAATAGGATTCAGAAGCTTATTTATCATCTTGAGGTTAGAGAAGAAGAATGGGGGCTCAGAGCGTGGCCGAAACCAGGTTACAGTGGTAGATTAGGTTATGGTGGCAACACAGGTTATGGAGGGGAAGAAGCGGGGACCTGGTTATCGAAGGGGGCTTGTTATGCAGATGAAGCCTCACACACAGCAGCCCTCAGAGAGAATAGATGGTGAATGTTTCTTTTAGACTTTAAAGGTGTCAGACCCTCAGTTAATCTTTCCCAGATCTGGATAAGGGAAGACCTCAGAGACAGCCTGGCTTCATCAGTGCAGATTTCTCTGCAGATGCAAATCTCCCCGACAAAAGACAGCTTTTTAGTTATTTTTTTATTTCCAGCCCTTCTGAATAGCTGTTTTTAACTATATCAAGGAAGTATATTTTGGGGTAAAATATTTTTATTTTCTTCAGTCCCCACTTTGACACTTTTACCTTTACAAAGTTTCACATATGGAAAGGCAAGTTGAAGCCAGGTGCAATGGCTCACGCCTGTAATCCCAGCACTTTAGGAGGTGGAGGCAGGTGAATTTCCTGAGCTCAGGGGTTTGCGCCCAGCCTGGGAAATATGGTGAAACCCTGCCTCTACAAGAAATACAAAAATTAGCCAAGCGTGGTGGCGTGTGCGCCTGTAGTCCAGCTACTTGGAAAGCGGAGGTGGGAGGATTGCTTGAGCCGAGGAAGTGGAGGTTGCAATGAGCCAAGATTGTGTCACCGCACTCCAGCCTGGGTGACAGAGCAAGACAGTGTCTCAAGAAAAGAAAAAAAAGTCAAGTTGATAGCTTTGGAGAGAACTGAATTAGCGGTTGTTAGATAAGAAATCGGCACGGCCAGGCGTGGTGGCTCTCGCCTGTAATCCCAGCACTTTGGGAGGCTGAGGCGGGCGGGTCATTCCTAACTCCTCAAGTTAGGACTTTGAGACCAGCCTGGCCAACATAGTGAAACCCCTTCTCTACTAAAAATATAAAAAATTAGTTGGGTGTGGTGGCGGGCACCTGTAATCCCAGCTATTCGGGAGGCTGAGGTAGAATTGCTTGAACCTAGGAGACAGAGGTTGAAGGGGGCTGAGATCACGCCATTGCACTCCAGCCTGGGCAACAGAGTGAGGCTCTATCTCAAAAAACAAACAAACAAAAACCAAAAAAACAGTTTCAAGAGGTGACATTGCAGATGGGCTAGGTCTGGAGTACAGTGGTGAAATCTCGGCTCACTGCAACTTCCACCTCCTGGGTTCAAGCAATTCTTCTGCCTCAGCCTCCTGAGTAGCTGGGATTGCAGGTGTGCACCACCATGCCTGGCTAATTTTTGTATTTTTAGTAGAGATGGGGGTTTCACCATGTTGTCAGGGCTGGTCTCAAACTCCTGACCTCAGCCTCCCAAAGTGCTGGGATTACACGTTTGAGCCACTGCGCCAGCCTGTGGTGGCAATCTGACAGATTTTTCTGGACTGTAGTTCAAATCAGATGTTCAAGTAACCTTTCTGAGTAGCCCATACACCAGCAGGCATGAAGGCTATTTACATTAAATTGCTCTGGTGATTTATGCCAAAGTTTATATCAAGCTGTCTAGCTTCAGTTTGCAGGGCTTCAAGAAAAGCAGTTTTAATTTCTAGTGAGTCCAAGTCAGAAAAATGGGAGAAAAATGGAAAAACATTAGTCTGGAGACTTGTAGCCAGGAAAGATTTCAGGATTCAGCCCAATAATAATAAGAGCAGGTGTACTATGGTTTTCTTCTGAAACATAATTTTTCTGTCTCTGGTCCCCCTTTTCTACCAAAGACAAATCCTAGTAGAACCAATTTATTTGTAAAATAAATTTTTGTCTTATTATACTTGGCCTGATTATTTGCATAAAGTATAGTAAGAGTAGTGATTGGCCATATAGACTCTTTCCAAATTGCCTCTTTTGGAACTTTTCATAGAGAATTTTGGATTAGACTTTTTGTTTTGGTTTGGTTTTTTTTGAGACAGTCTGACTCCATTGCCAGGCTGGAGTGCAGCGGTGCAATCTCAGCTCATTGCAACCTCCACCTCCTGGGTTCAAGCAATCCTCCTGTCTCAGCCTCCCAAGTAGCTGGGACTACAGGTATGTGCCACCATGCCCAGCTAATTTTTTGTGTTTTTAGTAGAGATGGGGTTTCACCATGTTAGTCAGGATGGTCTCCATCTATTGATCTCATGGTCCACCTGCCTCAGCCTCCCAAAGTGCTGGGATTACAGGCGTGAGCCACCATGCCCAGCTGGATTAGACTTTTAAAAGCTTCTTGAGGCTAAGAAGGTAAGCTAAGAATTTGCCATCAGGCTGTACTTACAATACCTGTACAAATTGGGTGAAATCCTCTCTTCTTGAGGTCTCTCAAATATCTTGAGGTTCTTGGGCCGGTCAGAAAGTGACACTGTTTACTTACTGAAAAGTCAGGAACCTTGTAAGGAAACAATGTAGACAAGTGAGAAAGAAGAAAAAGGCCTTTTTACTTGAGTAATGTGAGCCCCTTTAAAATATCAGGGCCACAGAGGCATTTAAAACGTGGTCAGGCACGATGGCTCACACCTGTAACCTGAGCACTTTGGGAGGCCAAGGCTGGTGGATCACTTGAGCCTAGGAGTTTGAGACCAACCTGGGCAACATGGCAAGACCCCCTCTCTACAAAACGAAACAAAACAAA